AATTATCTCTATACTTTGACTGTATTAAAACAATTTGAACAAAGCAATTTTAGGAGTAACATCTGTTGATACCTACACTACCATTCAATAGTTTGGGTCACTACGATTCTTAATTTTGACAAAAATTTATAATTTTATTTAATAAATAATTAGATCAAAAGTGACAGTAAAGAAATGTGTAATGCTACAAAAGATTTCTATTTTTAATCGATTATGTTCTTTTGATCTTTCTATTCATCAAAGAATCCTGAAAAAAAATGTATCACAAAAATAAATGTTTCCACAAAATATTCAACAGCACAAATGTTTTCAACGCTGATAATATAAAAAAAAAAATTCTAAACCAATGTATTAGAGTGATTTCTGAAGGAAATACCGTTATTACTGTTATTTTAAAGTGGCCCTATTATGCCATTTTTGCATATTGCCTTTCATGCAGTGTGTAATGTCAATGTAAACGATCTGCAAAGTTGTAAAGCCAAAAGTGCACGATAAATAAAGTTATTGTATCCTAAAAAAACAACCACAACAACTCTGAACAGCTGAAACGAATCGTCGGTAATTTGAATCCCACTTCCATGACCGCTTCACGTCAGGGGGTAACACATTTGCATAATGCTTGCCTGTTCTATGTTGGCCGGCCGCGAACAACTTGACCTGCCCTCAAACACAGTATTTTGTTTGTGTGGTTAACATCATGTTGAGAAGATGCTGTGTCCTACGCTGTGAAAGTAAATCACAACAGACTGGGTCATCTGACCAATCAGAGCAGAGTAGGCTCATGTACAGACTGGCAGTTGTGTGTAAAGCTGCGTTTCAGTCGCTGCTAACCAAACCTCACAAAGAGAAACCTTCATTCATGTTTAATTCATTGTACTGAATCAGTTTGTATTTTATATTTTAGTTATGTTTTGTAGTATTTTATTATTAGTAATTTCAGTAATTGTATGTGCTTTTGTTATTTATATTAGTATTTTTTTGTTGAAATATTTCTAGTGTTGGAAGTGTTGGAAAGTCTAATTCATTTTAGACTTGATATTTTGTTATTTAACGCAATGAAATGTAAACATTTTAAAATTAATTTTCTAGCCACTGTGGTCAAACAGGGAAATTTAGAGGTCAAGTCTTGCGTCCTTGTCTTTTGAACAGCAAGTCAAACCTTTTCATCTTTATGAGCATAAAATGTGTGTATGTGTGTGTGCATATGTGAGAGTCAGTGCTTCCATACACTCCTCTAATACACAGACACGACACACAAACACACAGTCCGTTCACGGATGCCCCTGTCGAAGCTTCATGGTACGTCTCTGCTCTTTTCACTCCCACACTCGTCTCGTTCTCGCCACAGAAGTCTGAAATACTCTGAATCCTAGGAGATTCAGAATCTTAATGACTCATCATGTTTGAAAATCTGACATTCTGACACATACTGGCTGTTCAGCTAAAGATCGGCAACATCGGTTTTATCTCGCTAGCTGCTCTAGACCACATTCTGCAGTTGTATTCTTTGAGAAGTGCCAGTGCTTGCTTCTATATGAACAAAAATGTGCATATTGTTGTATGGAGATTACATTTCTAATTTACCTTCCTGTCGGCGGCCTTGAATGTCACACTGCAGTCATTTTTATCCTACATTCTCACACAGACACACACACACTTAGTACCAAGATGAGCCAATGCATCAGTCACAGCTACTCCTCCCACTCCACCTGTCAACCTTCCATCCTTGCCATCTCTCCATTTCTCTCTCTATTTCTTTCAGTCTGAGTGCTGTATTAGCATATGCACCACTACCTTATAAACGTTTTAAATGGAAAACTAGCAAAATTGTACAGCTTTCCCTTTTTGTGTTCATAATTGTGTCAGTCTATCTATCCAATTGGATACTCCCGTCTGTCTGGCCTGATTTCATGTTATGCATTTTACATCTCAGGTTTGGTAAAGTGAGATTTCACGCTCTCACGTGTAACTTATTCTGTTTGGCTTTGAAGCATTAGCAACTGTGAGGGGAAAGAAGCTATTCTGAGAATGGGAAGAGAGAGAAACAAGAAAAGAGAGAGAGACTGTGTCCCCAAAGATATCTTGCCTTCCCTGTAGCATAGAGAGAGATGAGCAGAGAATCATGTTTATTTTATAAGGCTCACACTCTCTCTTTTATGTGTGTGTGTGTGTGTGTTTGTGTGAGAAAGAAAGTAACTTTAAAAAGAAGCTGAGGAGGGGAGGGGAGAGGAGAGGAGAGGAGAGGAGTCCTACGCTGTGAAAGTAAATCACAACAGACTGGGTCATCTGACCAATCAGAGCAGAGTAGGCTCATGGAAAGGAGGGGTTTCGAGAGACTGAATCTTAGAACTGCTTTGAACAAATCATCTGAGAATCATTGGAAAATAAAGTGATATGCATAATTTGAGCATTTTTTTTTTTACCTTGCATGCATGTAAACCTATTGTAGGAGACTCCCAAAACAATATTAGGAACCTTAAAAATGGCATAATAGGGGCACTTTAAATTGTAATAATACTAATAACAATATTACTGTTTTGACTATGTTTTTGATCAAATAAATGCACTCTTTGTGAGCATAAGAGACTAAAATGTAAATGCAGTGTGTATAAAACATAACTGAAAACTCTTTTTAGGCTCTTGAGCTATGAACAAGCATTGATTGAGCAAAAATATCCTCTAGGTTAATTCATTTCCATTTCTAGATACATTCACACTACAGTTCCCTACATTTCCATTTTTCTCTTTCCTGTTGCTCTGTATAGTTTTGATCTTCGGATTTGTATCTCTGACTAACAACTTGAGACTAGTGAGAAACCAACTTCAAAGACAAGGCACAAGAGAGAGAAATAGAGATTCTGTCTGGTCTATGTGTCAATTTATGTCAAAATGATAAGTTTTAATGTCTTATCTTGCATACTAGATGAAAAACATTTCTTTAGCTGGAGTTGTTTGGGTTGTACACTGTGTGCCTGACAGACTCAGTTCATTGGACATTGTGGCCAGTATGCTGCTGAATAAACTACTCTATAAATAATAGATGTCATCTGCTACACTGTGCTTTGAATACTAAATATATGTATACAGATATCGATTGAGTAAAGGTACAATCCAATGACGATGATATTTCTAAAGATGTGCTCCTACTCTCAAATCTGTATTTTGATGGGCAAGGTCAGCCCAGATGGTGTGTGCAATCATGTTAATCATATTTTCTAATATTTTTAACTAAATATCTGTCATCCCCTCAAAAAATAATAACCTTGTAGGTTGGTGTCCAACAATATACTATGATCTACAATGTGGAGCAGCTGTTTCTCAAAATAACACACCAAGAAATTATGCATATTTATGTGACTTATGGATATCTGAAATCGCTCATCTTTTGTATATTTAATATTTCACAGTGTGGCTGATCATATCAGACAGATTATATGAGACTCCTTTCACTGCTCAAACTGATGCAACACCAGTTTTTTTTATGAGAAATTAAGACTGTGAGCCATAAAACGCGTATAATAATCATATTTTCCAACAGCAGTTTATTCTCTGGTGGCTTCTTGCTCTTTGCAAGGTATTTTGGGTTTGATTGGGCAGAGCAGACAGCAAGATCAGTGATATGCATAAAATGAATACCTCTTTTGTCCAGGGTGAAAGGCGTATTTCTTTCTTTCTCAGGCTTGGCTCTCATATAAAAGGATCCAGTCTGTTATAGTGAATCAGACAGCTCTCACAGTCATGATGGGAAATCCATTTTCTCCTTACCTGTAATTTGTGAAATTGCCTTTGTGAATTTTGTCTTTCTGTCATCCCCAAAAAGAAGAAATATTTTTCTTTTTGTGTGTGTGTGTGTGGGATTCAGATTTCTATGATGTAGGTTTAGCGCTATGAGTCATATAGGTTACACAAGGTTGAAAATTATCAATCCATTTCTACCATTTCTAGATACCTTTTTCTAGATACATTTCTAGATGTTTACATTTTGTTACATTTCTAGACCTTTACGTTTTATTTTATTGTATGTACAGTATGTATGTATATATATATATATATATATATATATATTATGTATGTATGTTTTGTATATATGTGTGTGCGTATATAGGTCTGCATCTCTCTGGTGACCCATACTTGGAATTAGTGCTCTGCATTTAACCCATCCAAAGTGCACACACACAGCAGTGAACACACACACACCGTGAACACCCCCCCCGGAGCAGTATATTTATATATATATTTATATATATATATATATATACACATTACAGTATACAATATATAAATATATTGCATTATACAATTTAATGAATAATTATATAGATTTTTACATTGTATTGTTTATTTTATGAATTGTTATTTTTATTCATTATGTTAATAATACATTATAGTAATAATTATAACTAATAATGATATCATATTTTATTATTATGTGGGGTGGTTTAACATATGATTTTGTTACAGTATATAATAATAATAATTATTATTATAATTATATATATTAATCCCAAATGTTGATGGTTCTTTCTGTCATTATATCTTTAACTCAGTATATCGATTCTCCATTCATTATCTTCCATTCCTTCTCCCTGCAGATGTGTGACATCCACTGCTCGCAGGATGACAAACCTGTTGACTCATTCACCCCTGCTCATTCATAAATGATTCTTGACCAAGAGAATTTCAGAAAAACAGACAGGTAGGTGAGAAAAGGAGCATGATAGATGCTCTGTGTGTGAGTCAGAAGAGGGTTGCAGCACTGCAGCGGTTCCTGTAACGGCAGTGGTCAGGCTAAACACACCCATCCAATCCATCAGCCTTCATTCATCCTTCGCCCATCCTTCCATTCACACAATCAAAGCAGCAGGGAGGGTGGGATGGAGAGAGAGACGCTGCGATAGAGAGAGCATCCGCTTCTGCAGAAAAAGCAGGGGGGAAGAGGCGGAGGAGGAGGAGAGAGAGAGTATTGTGCCATCGGAGAAGAACGAAGAGCTACAGAGAGAGAGAAAGAGGGCAGGGAGGAAGGTGCGCTTCTCTCCGATTGCAGCACTCTCTCTGTCACATTGATAAGGTGTCTGTTCGGCTCCATCTCATTCTGTCTGTCTGTCTCTCTCTCTCACACACACACACACACACACTCACACAGCGGTGGTGCTGCAAAAACATTCTGTGAAATCCAGCAGCATCATCGGGACAGACTCGCAGCATCAGCGCAGCACTGATATCATCGGTCAACAGTGACAATAATAACAACCTGGACCAGGGAAGACAACAACACAGGTATGACCACATGCACAGATGCCCATGTACACACACATACACACACACACACATATGTGCTCATCAGGCAACAGATATCACAGATTTTTGCTGTCGTAATTGCTTCAGGCAACACAGAAGACCTCACAATCGTGTTTTCACCTTTTTGTCCCTCTCTAAGGCATCACGCTGGGGTCCGCAGAGTGCGCGGGCCGGCCAGAGGCCATGAGGCTGGTCCATAATGCAGAGAAACAGTCTTTCTCCTTTAAGAAGTGCTCTGCCTTCCAGTTTGTCAAGAGGAAGGTGAGTGTGTGAAAATGTTTGGTGCTGTGTGCAGAACTTTTGTGGCTGGTGGAGACTTAAAACTGTTGTTTAGTTGGAGACGTGGCCTGGTGGTTAGTGCACATGCTCTGACATGTTGCATGGTGGTGCTTATGTGGACGAATTTAGTTTGAAGACTCCAGTCATTTCTTGAACCTGTCTTCTTTTTCTCTGCAAAAGCACAGAAATGTTTTAAAGTTTTAAAAGTAATTTTCTCTATGGAGGAAGTAAAGTATGTATATTTGCATGTTTATGGATAAAAAAATATATGCATGTATGTATGTGGTTATTTGCAATAACTGTATTTGTATTTATGATTTTTGGATGCAAAATTCAGTCAATAGTCAACAATTTCTTTCATGTTATGACTGATATTAAAATTATATAGCATTTTGGTAAATAAATATAAATATTGAAATAAAATAAATATTATTACATTTAAATAAATATTTTGTCTAAATAAATAATAAAATAGATTTTTAAAAAATATAAAATGTATATATTAAATATGCAAAAATATATATAAAACATTACAAATTACAATAAATAGTTTTAAATGCTACAAATTAATTTAGGCATCACAGCATTATAATGTGCACTATAAACCATGCATATTCATTTTGACATTTGCCAAATATTACATTTAACAGGGTTTAATTATTCAATTATTACTGCTTTTTTTAAATTAAATACAATTTTATTGTTATTTTATTCAAATGTTACTGCTTATAAAGATTAAGTAAGCATTAGATGACAACAAAGGTCATCTAAATGAACAAATAGAGGAAATGAGCATAAACAAATTGCACTCTCTCCCCCTTTTCCTCCCAGTTGAGACACCCCTGGGTACCGTTAAATATTGTGTATATACACAATGGGCTGTTTGTGTCATGATTGTGAGATTGATGGCCAGCTGTGAATATGCATGTAAGTTTGCAATGTCATTTGACATCAGTATTGAGATTATTTATGGGTTTCTTTTGTTTGCATTTTAACAAAAATGATTTGTGACTGTTGTAATGGCCAATCTAAACATGTTTTGAATTATTTATTTAAATATAATGTATTTGGTTTGGTTATAAGCGAGAAAGTGTGTGTGGTTTGGCATTGAGTCCAGACTCCTACATACACACACAGCAGATGGAGTGTCAGGGAGTGACTCAGTGAGATGGTTTTGTTGGATTATTATGAATTTATGTGTACACCGAGACTGAGAGAGAAAGAATCTTCTGGAGTGCCAAGGTTGATGTTTGTCTTTTGTAGGTCAGCTTGCAGTGTTGTCTCATACGTGTGTAGCATTAACACAACCGGAGTGTGCTGTGTGTTCTGACTCATGCGGGTTTGTTAACTTGCTCTGTGTCTTTGCACTGGGCAACACACACACACACACACACACTAACCCACACATATACTGATGTTTTTCTCTAGTGACTAAAGTTTGGTGGGTTGCTGAGTCATCAGTAGAGCCTGTGTTTGGAGTGGTTTATTGAGTTGCCGTTGCTTCGCCGTTTGATTCCTGTAAAGAATGATTCATGTGCTTATACACACACATACATACATACATATATACACACACACACACACACACACACACACACACACACACACATATACTGATGTTTTTCTCTAGTGACTAAAGTTTGGTGGGTTGCTGAGTCATCAGTAGAGCCTGTGTTTGGAGTGGTTTATTGAGTTGCCGTTGCTTCGCCGTTTGATTCCTGTAAAGAATGATTCATGTGCCTGACAATCCAGATTATAACAATAACACACTTACATAGCTACTGCACAGAACAGGCAGCATGTCAAATGAGATGAGATGAGACGAGGCAAGATTTATATATAAAATATTTAAATATCTTAATTTTGCACTTTCTTGTCAACTAAGATATTTTTGTTGACTAAAATTATTTGCCATTTTAGTAAAATTGTACTTCAAAGTAAAATTGACTAAATGTAATCAATACGACATGATAATTTATTGATTCAGTTTAATTAATAGATTTAATATAATTAATTTTATTATTCATTTTTCAATATTTAAAATATTATTATTATTATTATTATTATTATTTTAAGAAGAGAAGAGTAAGGTCTTGGAAGCTTAAAGCCAGTGCTAGTGTACTGCCACAGTGACAACATACAATGACCTGACTTTGAAAATCTGAGAGAGGAAGAGAGCAGTGAATTGTTGGGATTTGACTATACGGTGTAACTGTTTATGTATGTAGGACATTGAGAAGCATTGTTTTCATTAATTTCAGGATTTTTTTCCCCATTCTAAAAAAAGACAAAGGTTTGATCATATAGAGCTTTGAGATTGTTTTTTCATCTGGCAGTTTGGCAGCTGTATGAAATGAAGTGAGAAGTGGAAATCTCTCAGCTTGTGCTCGCCATGAGTTACAGGATTTCCTGGGGCCTAGAAAATTGCTTTTCACTCAAGGGATTGAAGTCATTAAATACATTGTAAACTACAAAGAAGACATACGACCCTGTGCCCTGCCTCTTTAAGTCAGTCACTCCAAAATTCATATCCACAGATTGCCTCAGACAAATCAAGATGTTTTCACATGACGAAATATTATAATTGTCTACTTAGATTCTTTGAGAAACATGGTATTTGACAACTGGGTTTCACAAGAGCCATTAGCTGCATAAAATACTCCATCCTACTTATGCATTGTCACATGTCTCATCTACAGTACCAGAAGAGATGTCAACGTCACAAAACTGTGCTCAAATTTATCAAGTGTCACGGTTGGTTTTGGTTTATGTTCATGTTTTCATGTCTTTTATTTGGTCTTTTTCATAGTTATGGTTCCTGTCATGTGTTTCCCTTGCCCTTATGTAATCCTGAAATATTTAAATTTCAAAGTCAGGTATCCTAAGAAGTTTTTAGAGAAATATCAGACACAAAGCTGATTCTTAAGTGAAACTTTCTGAGAATGCCATTAAATATCCTGAGCTATAAATGAGCAACATCTGGGATTTCATATCTATACCCAACATATTTATCCTAGATGTTGTCAATACAACCCATGGTTTGATAAGCATTTCATGGAAATTTATTGCAATCTTTATCACCACATGAGCAGTGGAATTTGTTTAGGTTCCTACTCCAGGTCAAGTTAACCACCAACTTACTGGTTACCAGCTCTTGAGCCTTGAATCACTATGCACCACCACCCATTATATAGTTTATAGATGTAAACTCTTTCATGTTTTGCCTTAAGGTGCGCAGGTGGATGAGGAATCCGAAGGTGAATGTGGAGAAGGTCCAGGCTAAGGGCTTCCTGTCTCCATGTCCGAAATGTCAGGAGGGCCAGGACCTGTGGTACACACATTTCCCAGCACCTTACGGCTGCTGCCACTACAGTCCTGGAGGATACTGCCTCCCTCACCCCCCCAGCCCTCTCTGTCAGCCCTGTGGCCCGTGCACACCCTGCCAGCCGGACAAGAACAAGACATGCAAGGTCGGGAAACTGTCTGTTTATTAACTTTTCGGTCATCTGTTAATTGTTTATTCATGCATTTATTCATCCTTCAGGAGTGATTCTTCTAAGAGTTCAATATTGAGTCTTGCATGACAGCCAGTAAAAAAAAATTTAATTGCAGTTTTTGTCAAGTACACAGTGTTGTATTTGGCTGCATTTAATTTGTTGTTTTATTGGAACTGAGAGCTTTCCGATTAAAAAAAAAAAAACTACGGAAATTTTAGACCAATTAAAACATTATTCTCAAGAAAACATTTATTTTAAACATTTTGATGAGAGAAAGAAAATAAAAAGAAACATTTTGGATATTCTTTAATAAATTGCCAATTTTACCTGGGTACATAAAATCCCTACTTGTACTTAAAGGTGACATATCATGAAAATCTGACTTTTCCAGGTTTTAAGTGCTATAATCAGGTCCCTGGTGCATCTACCAACCAAGAAAACGTGAAAAAGATTAACCCAATCACTTTGTTTAGGTAAGCCTTTTTCTGCAAGCGTCTGAGAAAACGAGCGCGTCTGATTTCGCTCCCTTGGTGACGTGGCAAAGGGATCTCATTATAATATTACCGCCCCTTAATCTGTAACTTCCACTCAAGGCACCGTCATTTTGATTTCGCAAGCGACAACGGTGTACCAGCTCTAATGCCATGGCGAAAGTTTGAGCAAAACATGCTACATGCTAGGGTTCAGATTGAAATAACCTCAGATAGCTTACTGCAGTTTACAGCAAACGTGAAGAAAATCACAATCATAAATAGTGTCTAGTAATGGCTATGCCATCCATACTTCAGGACCTACAAAAACACACTTAATGTCATTTTTTCCCCCATTTCGCTTGTTTATTCTGATCCCTTTCAGTGCAAGCTTTTAATCTTAGCGTGCCGTAGGGATGCATAAGAGGCTGAGCATGTTGTCTTTCCATTTAGCAATGCTAAACAGCTTCATTGGGTTGCACTAGGTTAGCTGAGTTGAGCGCTTTCTCACTTTCTCCCGCAGTTGCTCCCCTGACTGTTTGATTGGCTCTCAGAGACACAGATGACACCGAGCTCAGAGGGAGTTTGTATCTCAGTCATCCCTACAGACAGCATCTCTGCTCACTATATGCAGCCTCAGTTTATGTAACAGACAGGCAGTTTGACATTATATTGTATGTGTTGTTATTTAAGGAAGTTAAACTCTCAGAAATGTGCTGTGGTCAAGCTCTGGCACTTTTTTAACTGCAGAAGCATATCATTTGATTAATTACACAATGGCATGAAAATTAATAGGTTGGATGCTAACAGAATGGAAATTAAGAGCTAAAGTTAGGCATTGCTCAGTGAGGAACAATGTTAGCTTGCATAAGGTGTCAACTTGAAATTTTAGTCACACCAATTTCTGTGATTTTATCAAACATGATGGAATGTTTTACAGTGACACAAACCAACTGACATTGCAAACATCACAGAATTCATCCTATCCATTGCTAATACTTAACAGGAAGTATCTGGCTTTTGTTTGGACATTGCGAATGTCTAACAGAATGGAATGTGATGTGGGGACACAGCATAAATCTATAAATTGCATTCCAAATTGCCAATAAAAACAATATTCTCAAGAAAAAAAATGTGTGAAACATTTTGAACAAAGAAAGGAAAACTTAATAATAAATTGCCAGTTTTAATTTTACCTGGGCACATGACAAAATCTCTACTTGCACTGAAAATATTAGTGAAAATATTTAAAATGTAAAGTTCACTTAATCTGATATTGTGATCAACTAATTTAGGGGTTGCAAGGGGGTTTGAGAGTGTCTGTTGAAATTTTCAGAGAAAATAAAAGGATTTTATGAAACACAAGCAACAAATTAAAAAAATAAATAAATTTGAATTTAACTGAAAATGTTTCTGTAATGTATAAGTTACAGAACAAAAAATATAATATAAAAAGAATATTACACAAAAAATTACAAAGATTAAAAAAAAAAACAAATTTATTGAATATTTTCATGTTAAAATTTAATACAAAGTAAATATTGTCTAGATATATATTTTAAGAATTTGTTTTACTTTTATTTTTATAATATGACATTTACTATTTTTTCTCGCAGGGCATAAATGGGTCGATATTCATAAAAATATATAGCTTTATATTTTAGGAAAGGGGTCCCTTACATGTGGACCGTCATATTTGGGAGTCCTTGGATATAAAAAGTCTGAAAACCCCTGAATGAACTAATATGATTTCCATCTTTAAAATTTTAAGTTTAATATTTTATGCAACATATTAATCTAGCTGTCTTATATCTTGATTGGTCTTATTTGTTGTTTTATTTGCAGCACTATATAGATAGACAGACAGACAGACAGACAGACAGTGTCAATTACAGAACAATGACCAAACCTGTAGCCATCTGAGGTTGGTTGGATTTTGTGTTTGATTGATTTGATAACCTCTTTCCTACTTCTCTGCTTTGCCACAAGCACTTCTCAAATAGCCAGAGAACTAATGTCTGAGTTGCTTTATTCATAAATTATGTGTAGGAGCTACAATGGGCGGCTTGTATATCAAGGTTAGGTTGGGTTAAAAATATATGTGTCCTGACAGGGAGAATGGGAGGGGAGAAGAGGAAATATTATGGGAGAGAGAAAAGCGAGAGAGATGACACATCGTTTTGTGTCAAGTCGGTCTCGAGGCTGAAGTTATGTAACGTATATATGGGTGAGAATGACGGAATCGCAGGAGCCGCAGCCATCGTCATCGTTTTAATTATTATGATGCTTAAGCAACAGCTGAGGTTTGATTTTGTAGTTAAAGTCCTTCCAAACTCTCCCCCAGTAACCTGGGCTTGTGATGGATCTGTATTGTGTTTCATTTATTTCGTTTTATTGACTCTTTAGGAGGAACATGATTGTGTTTTACAGTAGATGTTGCCTGGAAGGATTTTTATTTCACGCCCAGTGAAAATATGGAGAGCAGTAGGGCTCCCTCTCGCTCTGCATGTGGGTTTGTGTGCTTGTTTGTGTTTGTGTGTGTTTGGAATTAATGTGGCAGAAAGATGCAAGGAGCGGGGGGTTGTGCCGATGACTCGTCACTCATGAGGTCTGCGGATCACACAAACGCACACACGCAGGGCCAGTTTTTATAGTGCCAGGTTTCGCTGGGTTGAAATGAGCATAAAGTTTGATTGACCACATTGCGCTGGCCTTCAGATGAAGGGGGCTGCTTCAGTACTGTGAGTCATGATGAGATCGTATGTGATTTGTTTGGAGAATCTGCTAAATAATTATTGTATGAAGCAGATTGTTCCCGTCATGTTGATTATATTAAGTTTCTGATTGGTTATGACTGATTAAGCTCTTCAGTGTAGTGTTTATTAACTTTTCGGTCATCTGTCAATTGTTTATTCATGCGTCTATTCATCCTCTAATATTTTAAGCATCTCAAGTCTTGCTTGACAGAAAACTTTTTAAAAATAAATTGAAAAGGGGGGGCCCATGGAAAAATTGAGAAAATAAAGGATTTTATAAAACAATTGAACAAAATAAGCAACAAATGAAAAAAAGTGAAAAGTCCTATACAGGCAAATTATAATTTAACTGAAAATGTTTCTGTAATATATAAGATATAAAACACAAGTATTTTATTTAATACAAAGATTATATACAAATTTGATATTTTCATATTAAAATACAAGTAGTGAAGCAGATTGTTCCCGTCATGATGATTATATTAACTCTCTAATTGCTTATAACTGATTAAACTCTTCAATGTAGAGGGTTTAAAGTGAATTCAGCTGACAAAATTAGACATTTTTAATATCTCATTTGTTTCTTTTAAACGGTAACATAATCAGAGACTTTTGTTTAAAGGAACAGTTCATCCAAAAATGTAAATTCTGGCATCTTTTACTCACCCTCCTCATGTCATTCCAAACCTCTATGACTTTCTTTCTTCTGCAGAATAAAGCATTTTTAAAAATGTTTCAACTGTTGTTTTGGACTCCACTGACTTTGTATTGTATGGACAAAAAACATTGGACCCCATTGACATTCATTGTATGGAGAAAAAAAAGAAAAAGACTTCTTTTGTGTTCTGCAAAACAAAGAAATCCATAGGGGGGAAATGACACATGTGATCCTGTTAATTTCTCCATTTTTTTTTCTGCAAGATTGTAATGGGATTAAATAAAACACAAATAGAAACTTGCTCAAGTCTCCTTTATAGATTTATCTCCTGAGAAAAAGACATGTGTCTCCTCTAAAGGTCAGATTTCATCTAACGTCAAAATTAACTCAAACATTTCTCATTTCGTTCTCCCAGAACCAAGTGATCTGACATATGCTAGTTTGCTAATTGTATTGCTTTATACTCTTCTGTTTCTATTTTACCTGAGGAGAAACATCTGAGACAACAATAATACTTAAACAAAGGTCTCCTGAGCCACGAAAGAGCAACTTCTGAGCTATAAAATGTTCTTCTGGGCAAACACAACCACAAAAACACACACTTCTGCCATCGTCTGTTCACAATCCAGAGTATGTATCATTAGTTCTCGTAAATTCAAAACTGTTTTGATCTCAGTGACTGGAATTCCAGAGCTTTGACTCGTCTTGTCAACAAACGGATCAAGCAACGTTTTCCTCGCCCTGCTGAGACGCTGCGGACTTTGTTACCGGTGTTATTTTAAAATTACTGAGATACTGTTGTAGTTTTTTAAATATAGTTTTATAATGTGATATAGTTTTTTAATTAGATTTTTATTTAAATATGTCAGTACAGTTTTTGTTAATTTTTATTTTAGTACGTCAAGTTAAACTAAATGAAAATGACAATGCAGCTTTGGCAACTAGCTGAAATGAGTTTTACACTTTTTATATTTTATTTTATTTCAGTTAACATTCATTTTAAGGAACACATTTTTTAATAGTTTTAGTTAACTATAATTAGTTATTATTATAATAACTCTGACTTTTATCAGTACTAAACAGCATTTGTGTTGTATAAGTCTTATAAGGCTTATACAATTATGGCTTCTGGACTGTCAGCCAATTAGCAAAGTACTATTTTTATCTGTTTGTTCACGCGTCTCATCTCTGGCACTATAACCCTGTGTCCCTTATGAATAGTTGGGGTTAATGCGGCTAATGGTTACTAGGTTTCAGGGGAAAACACACCACACAGAAGTGCTGTCACCAAAGCCCTTAAACATCAGCGTCAGTTCCAATCAGACCTCCTGCTCTGGTTCAGGTGATTCTTTATCTCTGTTTTGGGCCCCTTGTTTTTTTCCCCTTGGCACTTATGCTAACTCTCTGGTGCTGTGCCAGTCAAGGGTGGCTCCGAGCCAAATTCCCTCTCACCTTCCAAGCGTGGGCCAGCAGTGTCAGCTGGGTAGAAGTTCTTCTGAGGAAGTTCGTGACCTTCACCTACTTTATATATTTTCCACCATCGTGTTGAAGGAGCGATTATATTTAGAGAGGTTTGTACTGGTGTAGAAAAGGCCTGAATCATTCTGTAATCTTTACTGAATTGTTCCGCAATCCTCCTACAAAGAAGCACAGCAGGCTAATAGATTTTAGGAGGGAAGTAATGCTTATTCTGTGGGAATGGAATACTTTCCCGGTTCAAAGCGGGTTTAATTATGCTTACAGGATTTAGTGTGTAGGGCTTTACTTCGCTATACTTCAGGGACAAAAATGACCACAGTATTGAGCTAAATCTCAGTAAACCTGCCTTCGGGGACATCTGAGGATGGCAAAAATGATTCATAAATAAAGTGTTTTTATTTTTTATTTTAATGGCAGGGTTTGTCTGCATTCATTAAAATAGATTTACATGAAAACAACTTAGCTTTATGGTATGTCATCATTTAGATAGCTTGGGTTGGACAGACAAGACTCGCACGCTAAAGCGCTGATAAAACATTTTTAGCCTTTATAGAAACTGATAAATGGTAGTTGACACATGACATATTCATGATTTTTTTCAACTTTTTTCTTTTTTCAACATCATAATGATATGTTAATTTTTATATGAATAAGTGAACTTCTAAATCTATTGGTCACCATTTCTCTATTCCACAGTTTTTAATCACGTTTTGCCTCTGAAACTTCATTTGAAATGGGACAAATACATTTTTAAAAGTACATATCTTATCAGCATGAAAAACTGCAAACTAAAAATGTTCTGCAGAATAGATTTAGTTGGATTATACACTCAAATATTATGTATTTTAATATAATATATTGTATATATACCGCTCAAAGGTTTAGTGTCAGTACATTTTTTAAAGAAATTAATACGTTTGTTCACCAAGGATATTAAATTGATCAAAAGTGTCAGTAAAGACTCGTACATTGTTGCAAAAAAAAAATAAAAAAAAATAAAATTCAAATAAATGATGTCCTTCATTCTATTCATCAAACAATCCTGAAAAAAAATGGATCATAGTTTTCAAAAATATTAAGCAGAACAACTGTTTTCAACATTGTTAAAAATAAGAATCATATGTCACTGGCTGCTCAAAATTCAGTTTTGCCATCACAGGAATACATTTTAAAATATATTAAAAGACATTTAAAAATATGAGATAATTTAAATAAGTTGTTTTAAATTGTAATAATATTTCACAAATCACTTTTTACTGTAATTAAAATGTGTATGAGTTCAGAATAAATTTATTTTTATATAATAAAATAATAAAAGTATTTTATTAAAAATAATTAAAAGTATGAACGTAAACGATGAAAAAGTGAAAAGAGAATGAAAACAAAATTGTTTAAATCTGTTTTAAACAATACAGTCTGGTAATTGGCAAAGCAACTACATTTACTTTGGCTTTAATTGAACTAATTTTATGCTTAGTAAAGATAAACCTATTAAATATAATAATTATAATATTTAAATAATAATTTTGCCTGGAACATTATACACCACAGGACATATGTGCAGGATAACTGCCCAAAAGTATTTAATGTCAAGGAGGCAAAGGAAATGGGACTTTCAGTAGCGTTTGTTCCCAGCTGGGTTTGTGATGGGATGCAGAGGGAGGAAGCCTTTTGGGAATTCCACATAGACCGATCCCATACAAGAGTTTGGGGCTAATCTCCTCAAACAGAGTTATAGTGTGCGATTTAACCTCCCTGGCTACACACATAAACAGACACAAACACACCCCAGGGATTCAAAAATATAATGACTTTGTATTGACTAGAAAATCTCTGTCAGAGAGAGTTTCGATTACAGTAGCAGTGCAAAGCCTTGCATGAGAAAGCTCGCACACTGTTTGGAGGAGAGGGGAGGGAAGAGTTGCTGATTAACCGTTTTTTATCTTAACATTTTCCTGTAAGTGCACTTACATAATCGGCAGCTTTTGATGTTGAAATATTTGAGCCAGGCTGTGTGTGTGCACAAATAGGCCCTTAAGAAAGGCTAGTTACTGTTCCAAGATCACCCTTCCCTGGAATCTGTGCTTCATTCTTGGCATCAAAGTCTAAAGGGCAAAGTGTCAGTGTGTGTCCTTCTGATTATTGTGGATTATAGAATAAGCTTGAGTCGCTGCAGTGACGTCTTTCACTGACCCTTGAACTTTTATCAGCACAATTACAGCTGAACACACACACACACACACTTCATTTTCCCTTCCCTGGAATCTGTGCTTCATTCTTGGCATCAAAGTCTAAAGGGCAAAGTGTCAGTGTGTGTCCTTCTGATTATTGTGGATTATAGAATAAGCTTGAGTCGCTGCAGTGATGTCTTTCACTGACCCTTGAACTTTTATCAGCACAATTACAGCTGAACACACACACACACACTTCATTTTCAGCAGTGTCTTTGAGTCAAATTTAGATCTAGTTAAATGACCTTTAGAGGAAAATTTGCTAAACAGACACTTTTGAATAAGTATTTTTTAATCCCAAAATAGGTGTTTTATCCAGTGAATTGGGTGCTAAACCATCGCAGTTAGCCCATGCAAATGCACAGCTCTATTAGCTATTAGCGTAATATATTCTTAGAGAATTTCACCCCTAAAACTTTGATCTCTGAGATGATTTATGTCTCGATTTAGTTGATTATTTATTTAATGAGAAAAGCACATGACAAGAGTTACAGCACTGATGACAAAATGCTTATATTTATACTTTACTGTGTCACCTATTGTGTTGTTTTTGCACATCATGCTTACTCATGGGGTATTGTGACTTAGTGGTTAAAGTCTGAGCTGGTAACTAAACTTTTCTTTTTGACCCCTGCAGTAGTGAATCCATGAACTATTATCATTATGACCTTGAACAAGACTTGAGATTGTTTCAGGGAGATTCCTGTGCTAAATGTACTGGGTCACTTTTTTTTGGTAAAATCATCAGCTACATCAGGGGGTTAACAGAAAATTTTCTGTAAGAAAAAAAATTGTATAATGTAAATGTATAAAATTATATATATATAATAAAATAAAAGGAAAATAATAAATAATAATAAATGCTCACCAAGGCTACACTTTTTTGATCAAAAATACAGTAAAACAATAATATTGTGAAATATTATTACAAATTAAAACAACAGTTTTCTATTTTAATATGATGTAATGTAATTTATTTCTGTGATGCAAAACATTTCAGCATCATTACTCCAGTATTCAGTGGCACATGATCCTTCAGAAATCATTCTAATATGCTGATTTGCTGCTCAGGACACATTTCTTATTATCATCAATGGTGAAAACAGTTTGAGTGCTCAAACAGTGGAGTGGAGTGCTCCTCAATATCTTTGTGAGGAAACCAATGATGATGATTCACGTTGAAGTTGAAGTTCACAAGGTTCAAATGAATAGCATTTTTTTTGCAATAGAAATTTATGTAACAACGTAAAAGTTTCTGTCACTTTTCTGACACTGTCACTTTTGATCAATTTAATGCATATTTTCCGAATAAAAAGTATACATTTTCTTAAATATTTAAAAAAAAATCTTACTGAGCCCAAACTTTTGAACGGTAATATATGAGCATTAATTTTGGCTTTAGTACAATATCAATGTAAAGCAAATGATATGTAAACAAATATTGTTGTCTTTATAGTTTCACGCTATTTTTCTCACAGTATACACAGGTCTTAAATATAGGATTTAAGAAGAGGATTCCTTGCAAGGGGATATATTTTCATTATATTTGAGGGTCCTTGGCATCGAAAAAGTTTACTACTAGGCCATGTCAGTACAATAGCTTACCTCATTTGTTTTTTTCAACAGGTGAGGAAATGGAAGATGCTCAGTCGCCATCACAACGATAGTAAGGTGAAGGAGGCCGAATCAGAGGGGCATGTGATCTGCCCCTGGACGATGTCACCCCTGCTGGGAAGCCCCGTACTGCTGGAATGTTGCATCTGCAATGGCCCCTTCATCACTTACGGGCACGAGGAGGCATGGCAACCACGTCAGCGCACACAGGTCAGCACACAAACAAATGTCTCATGCAAAAATGTATGAGTATCATTGCGTTAGATAACAAAATATATCATACAATTTAGAGAAATACAGCACAAAGCACACAAAGCAAAATATTTCATAAAAACACTAAACTCTAAATCATTAAAATCTTAAAATAATATATATATTTGGATGCTTTCTGGTTGTCGAACATGGTGAAACACGCATTGAAATTGTTGAAATTTGTACTAATTTTCCATTCTTCTTCATTCTTTTTGGTCTGAACTTAATTTTAGCCACTTAGCTGTTTACACAAGATAAAAGAGCAGTGAGACACATGGGCTGGGAAAGCTTAGCGTAGGTGCACGTGCAAAGATGTTAATACTATCGCGCACATATTTCAGCATTCTGTTAGCCGGCTCTCCAGGGAGCTTATTAAAGAAGTGGATTTGGGTAATTGCTCTTTCTGTCGTTCTCTCTCTCTTCCAAGCTCTCTCTCATTCTCTCTCACTCACTTCATACAGAAAGCTTGCTGCTTGGGTGTTAAACTGTAAGCCAGATGTCACACAATTTCATTTTTTGCGAGCTGTAGATTAAGACCGATGTGACAGTCCATCTGAAAGTCATAATTTCACTGTGATGAGTGTGCATGCATGATAAAACTGTTTGAAAGTCTTCCACTGACTCATGTGACTGTAAATCTAAAGCCCATTATTAATAAAGCAAAGTCCTAATTCTAATATTCAGTGTCACTTCCAAGGACCAAGGCCTCATTCTGTTATTAAACTTGTGTATAGGTCAAAAGAGACATGCAGTACTAAGACAACAAGAGTGTTTTCATTGAAGACATATTGCACTGACCTACATTACTTCTTTTTTTTTTTCCCAGGCAATGGACCTCTACTATCATGGAGACCCTGAGTCTGATTATTGTTGTCCATCTGACACCAGTAAGTTCTGTCTTTTTTCTCCACCAGTCTTTTCTTTCATTTATTGCCTTATTTCCATACTCTCTCTCCCTCTCTTTAGTATGTCTTTTCTCATTCACTTACCTTTATAGCTCTTTCAGGATCTCTTTGGTGCGATTGGTCATTGTACTTCCTTCTCTTCTTTTTTGAGTTGTTTTGTTTCTTCTCCCTTGCTGGTATAAGCAAAACCCATTATTACCTTGATCCATGTAGGCTTAGAGTTGAACTTTAATAACTATTTTTATGCAGGTGCTCAAAACAGCACTTCTGTGAATAAAACACTCCTACACTATTCAATTACAAACACCCAATGCCACTCGATAATGGTTGAAACGCACCACGCACATTTGTCAAGTGCTTGTTAACATGCATTGTATTTGCTACACTGTTCCTGACAGTGTTAACGAATTATCAAGCGTAGCGTTAGTTCTGGCAGGTCACGTTAGTCAAGCTCGCATCAGCTGACCTTCAGCTGATCCCCATCTACCTATATATGGGAATACGACACCTATCTAAGCATTCATATATAAGGTCCCTCAGTATTATCAGCAGTTTTCGCATTGCTCAATAGCTAATTACCCTTCTCCATCCCCAACTCCTCCTCTGTCAGTTGGGATTCAGCCTTCTGATTCTCCTTGAATCAGACTAATTCTAAAATGTGTACATAAAATGATTGAACTTTAACAATATCCCATACCGCCAATCCAAACTGTATGCTAATTGTCAATCATCTTTGACGATAGTGGTCCTGACAGAAATGATTTTTTTTTTCTTTAGGAACTTTTCTTTTCCGAAGGATGATTTTAAAGGATAGAATACACTTTCTTTTTAGGCATAATATCTCTATTTTGGGCTTTTTGTACATTTTTATGACAAAGTTTTAATGTTGCACAAACCATTTTAGAGAACAGATACACTACCAATGAAAAGTTTAGGGTAAGTACTTTTTTTATATAAGCAAGGGTGCATTAAATTGATTGCCCTGTGACTGGAAGTAGTTGATCTCTCCTTCTAAGGTGGGGAAACTGTCTTCGTTGAAGTAGGGAGACTCTTTTAGAGGGATGTAAGTTGCACACAGTGTATCTTACAGATGTATCTCTCTCTCTCGCGCGCGCGCGCACGATGCGCAAAACTCCGCATTTGAACAGTCAATAGCAAATACTTAAACTAGTAACAAAATTTTCCATTGAGATCCTCGGTGTGTGGAGGACATCTAATACTCAGATGAATATTGCTGACTTGTGAGAAAAATCTCAAGTGTAATCAGGTTAAATAAACTCCAGGAAACACAAGGAGAAAGCCCTTTCTTTTGCTTTCTGTCTCTCCCCATTCATTAGCTTGTCTCTGGTGTGCGTGACCCAGGAAGAAAATGGCGGAAGATCACGTAGCTTGGAAAACTTCCTGCACAAGGAAAAAAAAAAGTATGGAATATGTTTGTGTCTGTACCACCCATCCAACCCACCCCTCTTGCCGCAACAGAGGAGTGGAGAGAGGCGGAAGAGAAAGAAACTGGAGAGAGATTGCTAATGACCTCTGCATTCTTTCTTTGCGTGCACATTTTGGCAGCATTATGCAAATATTTCCACATAGTGAGGTAGATATGTGGGGGCGTGTTAGAACAAGCCGTTTTAGGGGGGCGTGGCAGAGTCTTAACTTTGATAAAGAATATCTCTTTGGTTTTGAGACTTTAGTCTTTGCAGCTTCAGGGATCTTATCTATTCACGAACAGCTTGTAACACTCCAAAGAGAAAGGAAAACTTGAAATCGCATCATATGACCCCTTTAAAAGTATTAGTACAGACGTTTATAATGCTACAAATGATTTCTATTTCAAATAAATGCTGTTGTTTTGAACTTTCTATTTATCAAGAATCCATCACAGGAATAAATTAAGTTTTAAAATATATTCAAATAGAAAACAGTTATTTTAAATTGTAATAATATTTCACAATATTGCTGTTTTTACTGTATTTTCTATTAATTATTGTAGCCTTGGTGAACATAAAAAAATTAAAAAAAAAAACATTAAAAGATCTTACTGACCCCAAACTTTTTTGGTTATGATGTAGATGAGAAGTGACAAGGGAGGCGTTTTTTATTTTTCATGATTTCAAGTAGACCAAACAACCCATAATTAATGACTCACTAATAAATGGTCTGTTATTGACGCTGTGGATAGAAGATTTGGAAAAATTCCCTCAGAATGACATGGCTGTATTTCATCAGTCATTTAAAGGTTAGGGTGATAAGATTATTTGAAAAGGGGCAAATGGAAAGCTGTTGGAAGTCTGTGGAAAGCTGATTTTTCCTGTTTGTCCTGTCATAACTTAACACTGAACCCAGGACAGGTACAGAGAGGACAGTGTCTTGAGGAGTCAGAGTGTCTTGGGACTGGTCTGCTGGATAAAATGTGCTTTCCCATTTAACGAAACATGCCAAAATATGGAGCACTCTGGAGATGAGGGAATTTGCAATCACTAACATTTAGCTGTCTCGTTATTGAATAATGCAGTACAGTCCCTATGAAGGCACAAGAATCTGTAACTACAGTAGCTACATCTTTAATATATTTGTTTGTGTTCATATTACATTACTCATAGTTTAAATTTGTCTAAATTATCTCATAAGCTTGAGAATTTCTCTTGATGGAGTCACAGGTGTGTTTGTGTATGCACATATTTGTATGCATTCATGTGAATGTGTGTGTCTGAAGGAAATTGCATAATGCTCTTGAAACCAGTGTATGATCCAAGATCACATTAGTATGCATAATGTTTAGGTCCTGTATTGAGTGCTTAGCTGCATTTAAATAAGAATTTACGTAATCCCCATCTTCCAACATAAATAAACAAAGTGTTTGGACACTTAGGGCTGAAGCTCTGTTGATCTCTGTGTGCTGTCTCTGTCTCTCTATCCTCTCCCAGACCTCTGTTCACTTCCTATTTACACAAAGAATGAGAGACTGAAAAGAAGGGAATCTGAATGAGATGAGCACAAGGAGACAGAAGGGGAAGAGAATCAAAATTGGGTGTATTGAACTGAGAACTGAAAGTTAAAATGTTTCAAAACATTTCGTAAACTGTTGCGAAAAATAGAGAACCGAAAAGAGTGTAATGTATGACAGTGATGACATACAAAAACTCACAGGAAAGTTGTTAGAATTATATACATAATCATTTAAACAATTCCCATAATAATTTCCAACTATTAGCCTAGGTTCCAATATGACTTACCTCATACTGTGTGACAACTTGCCCGAGTCTTAAGATTGTGTGTTTGAGTATTTTGTGTGTGATCATTTTCATGCTTTGCCAAACTGTAATTCACGTTTATTTGTATATTGCTTTTCACGATACAAATCGTTGCAGAACAGCTTCACAGAAAATTAAGAGTTGCTTATCAGTGGTGACTGTCAAGGTGATGTACATGGCAGAAATGTACAATAAAAATAATGCAGTTAGTTAATGACATGTATTAAAACAAACGGCGAACTGTTAACAGCAATGGTTATATGTTGCAATCAAACTTATAGCAAAATTTGGTAGATTTGTATGTTGATTCAGGGTTGTCGTCATCTGAGGGATTGACATCATCCCTTCTCAGGTGTTCAGTCATCTCAGAGCTTTGTAAGGGTTGCATCCAGACTGAAGCTTGTGTAATTTCTAGTTACCTCAGGATGCCCATCCGTGGCAGACACAGAGAAGCAAATAGAGAAAAATCGTAGCTGCTGATCAAACCAAGCAAAGAATGATAATGTGCATTTGATCAGATATAATTAGTGTTGGAGAGGTGTGGATAATTATGGGAGGTGTTGGCTTTATCTAAATTCTCTTAATCAGTACAGAGAGAATACAAAACTTTTTTTGCAGCACTCCATATCAGCCCTTGGTCCCTTCATTGGTCTCAGTTGAGTTGCACTCGCCAATGATACCTAAAAACTGTCCAGGTAGATAACTGACTGCGTTTTGACCGACAGCCTCTATGTTCATTTAGCTTTAGCTTCTCATGAAAACAGTGCAGCACATTGTTGGAGGGCTGGAGAGACTCCGCCCCGCAGAGATCCGGTGTCAGATCAGCCCTGATGGAATGCGGCGGATTGAGAAAATTCTTTCACCTCCAAACTTCCTCATCAAGCGTGTCAGCGGCACATTACTCTCTTTCCTGACCCTATGAAAGACAAAACTTCACCGCTGACATGTAAGTTGAATCTCGCAGAATTTACCACGGAAAGCTCGTATTTATGGAACTGTTTTTATTTAAATGACTGGAGGTGGCCGCTTATAATTAGGGTGTACTGGAGACTAGGTGCAGGAGCAGCGACCCGGTTTTAACACCTTACTCATATCTAGATTGATTTAGTCTGATAAGGCACTTGGCTCTGCCTTTGCGAAACATTAGAGACGCTACTGTCTCGGCTTTCATAAGAGACTTGTCAGGATTTACAGCACAATGAGAAATTCAGCGGAACTGAAAGGTTTGTACTTTTTCAAGAATACGATAATCATAATAAACAAGTGATATGTATAAAATACACAACAAACCTATGTATAGTTTATATAGCGGTTTATTCAAACATCTTGAAGGTGTGTTCAAACGTTTTCTACGTTAAAATGGTTAACAGGGTTACACTATTAATTACGTTGCAACATGTAAGCAGAACCAAAAGATTACGGGCATGTTGTTTATTGTAGCCTTAATGCTGTATTACATTTTAGTGCTTTAAATGCACTGTATCATGAACAATGTGAAACAGTGTCTACATAAGATGTATGCATGATATCTTTATTCAGTGTTGTTCGGTTACTAGTACTACCGGTAATTTGGTCTACTAATACTAGCGTGAGAAAAGCTGGTGACTCGAATGTATTCGGTTGTAAAGTTTAGGACAGTGCTGGGTTCAGTGTCGCGATCTACTGTAGCTACAATATGCTTTGTTGCAAAATTAGATACAGTATAATTATGTTAAACTAAGTGGTTAAAGTCGAAATGGTTTTTGTCACAGCTCAACCATTTATGAGTTTAAATCGTTTTGAGGCTTAGGTTCTGAACATTTATTATAACTTGAGCTGTATGAGTGACTTTAAATGACGTTAATTAATTGTCTGCTGTGGTATAGCGTTGCATAACTGTGGCAAACTAGGGCATTTCATGATCTTATGTACATTTCCTGATACGGGCTCTAAATGACAGAAGGAAAGAATGCAGAAGAATGCATTCTAGAATTTTCCTAGAAGTAATTAATTCCGGGAAATCCAACTAACGTACTTTCCGCGAATCGGTTCTTTCGAACAGTTCGTTTCGAACACCCGCTCAAAAACAGATTCGGCTTATTTTACGTCATGATATTATTACGCCCTGACATCGCGATGTGGAATGTCATTTGTAGCCACATATTTAACATCTTATTACATTTTAATTGTACATTTTAATTGTTTCATGTATATTCAATTGTAATTTCGTGTGCCCCAGTTACTTTTCGGCCCAAACACTCTTACTATCACTCATCGGTTCCGTTCGATTCAGACTTATGACAGAGATCGTTATTCCTTCAGTGTCGTGAGTGGACTCGATTAACGGCTCTGGCGGTCTAGTTCGGACTGGTTTGTGACCGAGTTCAATCGATTCATTGAATGATCCGATACAAAAGGGGGGGGGGGGGTTGAGTGAAAGAGTCATTGACTCATTGACTGTTGTGCACTTGTGGAATGGCAGTGGTTGTTTTTGGACGTCTTTTGACTTCCAAGTATGAAAGGTATGATGAATCAACCGAATCTTTTCTGCTTTATCTTTACACTTAGGTTATAATGAATACATTGTTTACTCTAGCAATAAAATAGCAATGAGAATGTGTAGCAAGACTGGGACTGTTTGTATTATGACTGTATTAGAAGGCAGGCAGGTTTGTTTATTAAAGATGGATACAGTGACTCGATTTTTCAAGTTTTCACGTTCCTCTCAACAGAACATGTAGTCCTGCTCAGCTTGTTAGATGCGGGAAGATCTTGTTTTCAACTGTATGTAACATAACATCAGATTTTGGGGCGTGACGTGCTTGTGTACCCTTCACTCACAGCTGGCCCCTCATAGACGTCACAGCTGACTCCGCTAGAACCTGCGGTACATACGCCAGGCCACGCCTCCGCAAACAGTCTCTTGCGTCAGGCCACGCCTCCTCTCTAAGAACGCACTCCAAGCCACGCCTCTTTGCGGAACGCGATCTCTAGCCTCCTCCCCCTGCCTTTTAAATAGTTGGAACAGTAGTGTAGGAGTTCAGAAGCGCTTTGTGTCGTTTTGGTTACGGGCCCGGAGTGGAAAACTACAGCAATGACAATCCAAACGGAGACGGGCGTCCCAGCTCCAGACTTGACCTACTCTAAAACAAGAGGACTAGTAGCTAATCTCAGTGGTAGGCTTTGTTTTTCAGATGAATGGAATCTCCTGAGCCAACTTTAGCACAGAATGGAAAGAATATTAAGTGATCTAGCTTTTTAATGGACTCTCTCTCTCTCTCTTTGCTTTTTCTTTTATGTGCAGCTTTTATGAAACAGAGAAGGATGGGACTGAATGACTTTATCCAGAAGCTTTCCACAAACGCTTATGCATGCAAGCAGTAAGTCTAATTTATGTAAATCTGTTTAAGATGTGCATGTTTACAAATTTATTTCAAATATGTATTCATTTACAAAGAAAATTTATATATTTACAAACTTGTTTTAAAATATAAATGTTCCTTTATAAAAAAAATAAAAAAAAGTATAGAAGTTGTTTTTTCTACTTTTTTTCACATTTTATTATTGACAAAATAATTATTTTAATAATATAAAATTATAACTATATTATATATATATATATATATATATATATATATTAATTGAATTTAAATGATTTTTAATATACTAAAAATTATTTAAAAATAATATTTTTTAGTGTATTCAGACATATCTCCTTATTTGTTTGCTAAGTTGTCCTTGTTGAAACCATGCATCTGATCATCAGTCTCTGATCTTTTCTTCCTGCAGTCCTGAGGTCCAGTCCATCTTGAACTTGACACCTCCACAAGATGCAGAGCTGATGAACAGCAACCCTTCCCCACCGGTAATTCTGCGTTTATTTATGTCATGAAAGCATATGTGTGTGTATGCATCATGCATCTTTCTACAAAACAATATATGATTCATATTTGTCTAATCATCTCCTCTTCAGCCAAGTCCTTCTCAGCAAATAAACCTCGGCCCTTCTTCCAACCCCAGCGCCAAACCATCAGACTTCGACTTCCTCAAGGTCATCGGAAAAGGCAGCTTTGGAAAGGTTCTTCTGGCCCACCACCGAAGCGATGAGAAGTTCTATGCAGTCAAGGTGCTGCAAAAGAAAGCCATCCTGAAGAAGAAAGAGGTATGGAATCATACAAAGCCTCTCTAATTCACTTCTAGTGACAGTTGCTTTAGGCTTTGGAGAATGCATGCGTTTTATAACAGCATAGTAGTCCTAGATGGTTGGTTGACCTCTTATCATGATCTCTAACCTCTGACCTCAGGAGAAACACATCATGTCTGAGCGCAACGTGTTACTGAAGAATGTCAAGCATCCTTTCTTGGTGGGCCTGCATTACTCCTTTCAGACTACTGATAAACTCTACTTTGTACTGGACTACATCAATGGCGGAGAGGTACGTTATTTCATTTGCATTTTTTTTTTTAACGTTACACACAGTAGGGAGTAAAACAATATTTACAAGAGAGGGCGACAAAAAATTAAATAGTCAAAGATGTTGAAGGAGACAGTGAGGTATATGCAGACAGAAAAAGGACATGCTTTCATGAGAAGCAAAGAGGAGCAGCTGGGCTCTGAATAGGAAACTCTCCTCAGGAAATGGCTGTTAGGGGAAAGTGTGTGAGGTAGGGGAGCCAGATTTAGCAGCTATGGTGGTTTAGACTAACTCAACAGACGTCTCTGAGGGGCAGCGGAGGGGGTACGTTCTCATTTCCTGCCATTGTTCGGGATTGTGAAGTCTAGAAAGCCTGCTTAAGTATGCCATTCAGGATATGGAATGCACGGCCTAATCTGTCTCCTCTTTCTCTTTGTCTTTCTATAGCTGTTCTATCATTTGCAGCGGGAGCGATGCTTTCTGGAGCCACGTGCGCGGTTCTATGCAGCCGAGATCGCGAGCGCCTTGGGGTACCTGCATTCGCTGAACATCGTGTACCGAGACTTGAAGCCCGAGAACATTCTCTTGGATTCTCAAGGACACATCATCCTGACCGACTTCGGCCTGTGCAAAGAAAACATAGAACCCAATGGAATGACATCAACGTTCTGTGGAACACCAGAGGTAAATAACATTCACTTTTATTGTTAAACAGCGGTTGCTTTCAAACAATGCAATTGCATTTGCAGTTAGTAAGCCTACCCATCTTGATGTTTCTCCTTTTGTCTTGCAGTATTTGGCACCGGAAGTGTTACACAAACAGCCGTATGACCGGACAGTGGACTGGTGGTGTTTGGGTGCAGTGCTGTATGAAATGTTATATGGCCTGGTGAGTTATTCCAGTAAAATAAATAGATTTTGTGCCTTTAATTGAATGTATTTTAACTAATTAGCTTAATTGAATTGGAATTGACTTGAGTACTTGGCTTTGTACTTGATTGCTGATTGTTTTTCTGGTTTCTCCACAGCCTCCGTTCTACAGCCGTAACACAGCGGAAATGTACGATAACATTCTGAACAAGCCACTGCTATATATATATATATATATATATCGTTTTTACTATATATTAGCCATATCATATTAAATAGCAGTTTTGTTGCTGTTATGTCTAATGTATCTTCTATTTCACTTTTGTAGACTGAGATCAAGAACCACATGTTCTTCTCTCCCATAAACTGGGATGATCTAAATGCCAAGAAGCTCACACCGCCCTTCAACCCCAACGTGGTATGTTCCACTGCTCTTCTGCGTTGACTTTGGGTTATTACAACATAGCACTGGATGTTAGAGATAAAAAGGACCTAGTCATTCTGGCATGATTTGTGTCAAGAGAATGCAGAGAATCATGCTATGCAAATATTGCAGCTTCTTATCGGTTGATTTCAGTCGTGTAATTTTGACGTGTTTTTGTTTCAGACGGGGCCTAATGACTTGCGGCACTTCGACCCAGAGTTCACCGACGAGCCAGTGCCGAATTCAATCGGCTGCTCCCCGGACAGCGCTTTAGTCACAGCCAGCATCACCGAGGCGGCAGAGGCTTTCCTTGGTTTCTCTTACGCCCCTGCTATGGATTCCTACCTGTAGCCCATCGATGCAGGAACGCCATCCCATAGACTCTTACCTGTAGCTCATTACCATGGAAACCTGTCCCATGGAATCACACCTGTAGTGCATCACTATGAGAAAAGAAACCCTGTCTCATTTCCCTGCCTCCATATAGGGGGCATTTGCACATGGCATACGGCAGCTCAAAAGGCCTTTGTTTAAAGGCCTGAGTTTTACAAATTAAAAAAAGACTTGTCCTCTTCATCGACTGCATCCAAATGCACGATTTCTCCTCCGCTTTCACCCCGGGTTGTGTCAGACAGACAGATGGGGAAAAAAAGAGAGAGAGAAGATTGATGCTGATGGACGATTGTTATGTACTTTTCTTTTCTTGAGATTTATTTCCAGTTTATTCACTTTTATAGGATTGTTGATGCTAGACTTCATTGTTTTGGATGGATTGGATGTGTGCGTGTGTGTATGTGCCTTCGTTTTAACACCCCTTCACACATGTTTGTTTAATCTAAATCATGTGATCTGGCACGTCAGTCCGTGTCTGATATAAGTCAACATGACGCTAAAACCACTAAAATATATCAGCATCTGATGTTTATGTGATCTTTCAGTTACACATTTGGGATTAAGTTGCACATTTATCTTCCTAATTTAAAGGGCACTTCCTTTTTTTGTGTTTTTCTTGTTCTTTTGACTCAAGTGGAAGGTGCTAGAGGGATGTGCTGCTAATGTGTGTAGATACGCACTTGGACCAAGGAATCAGACGTCTCTGTTTTACCTTAGTCTTCCAGCCTCCTAGGATGTACAGTAATCGTACAGCTCAGAAATGGGCTAGTTTGTCTGAACATCACATTCCATGAAATAAGACTGTATGGTTATTTAAGTTTGTTTGTATATTTTAAGGTCTATGTATTAGTTTTAATGTGTATATGGAACAAAAACCTAAGGTATGCTTACATGTAACTATAAATGTACTGTAAAGTTGTAAAATGTTTTAATTAAACAATGTGACCTTGTTTTGTTCGCAATAAAACTTTATGGTTATTTTTCCCCAAAACAATATTTGCATTTTTTTTTTTTTTCTGTAGATGAAACTAAAACATTGGGTCATATAATTTAACAAACATCATTTAACAAACAGATTTAGCAAACATCACACACCATGAACGTCATCGGTTTCTTCAGCTGGTCAAAGGTTGCTTTTAGTACATTGTTGTGCATCATTTTACTTTCCCAACCCAGTGCTCACGCCATCCCTGCACATTGAACCCCATCTTTAACCAACCATAATTTTCATTTCTCCCGCAGCTGTCAATGTTTGTATGTATTAACTGCAGCTCCTGGAACTGCTTTTCTGAGACCTGGCATAATGGTCTGCACTTGAGGCCTTAAACTAGGTCATGCATGAGTGAAATGACTGGTAATTTGTTCAAAGCAAATCTGAGCATTGCTTTTAAAAGATTTCATAGACGTGCTATGCAGGATACATAGGAAATTACTAACTGTAAAGATGCTTTGGCTCTCAACAGGTCAACGTGGCTATGTGACATAAAAGGTTACTAAATATAAAACATAAACATATTTCAATTGTGAGATTATATGCATTGCAATAAAAAAAATAAGTGCTAATAGATAGATAAATAGAGTGAGTTACAATCTTAGATCTCTTATCCACTAGCGCCGCCACAATGTGGCTTTTGAAACGATTGAACACTTTTTTTTTTAACATAAACATCTGATCTGAAGCCAAACCTGCAATAAAATGTGTTGCTATAATACATACATGCAAATATGTAATTCTAAGTTATTATGAACCAAAGTATGTATAAACATTTAATTTCTGTTCACTTTGTTTGGTGTGACAAAATAATTCCTCTTTCTTTCTTTTAGTTTGTGAAGATTTTAACCTGCACGTAAATCGGTTAAAAAAAAAAAAGTCACAGTCTTTGTGTGGAACTTTTCACTCTTTCATGTAATTACATTTATCTGGCCAGTAGATGGCACTATATTACAACAGAAGATGTTCTGGAAATAACACGGTGAGCTTTTTTTTCACAAATTAAAAAAAAAAATCCACCGGAACATGCCTGGGTGATGCTATTATTCACAAAACATTTCATGCGATTTCATTAGCACTGCAAAAACAATACTGTATGTCTGTCTATACGTATGGAAAGGCTGCTATTCAGCTACTCAAGTATTACACACCACAGCAGTTTACATACAGTGTCTGATGACTCAGCAAACTTAACTGATCTGACACAGCACAGCAGACCGCCATATTGCATTTCAGCTACATTATCACAATCACAAGTTAACTTTCAATCAGGTTAAGCATAGTGTATTTGTGCATACATTATGCAATCTGTATAATGTCTATTAATTACGTATGAGATTAAATGATGTACGTGAACTTTGGCCACTTGATGATGACTGTCTCAATGTACCCTAGACTAATTCACACTATTGATACATCTCATAGTAGAATTCTATTCTAATGTGTAGTAGTGTAAATTATACACTAGAATATGGATTTTGCAGCCAACTATATGATCATGAAGGCGAATTTGTCAAAGTTTTTATATTCAATTATATAACTCTGATGTAACACGCATTACAGTACAAAATGAGCAACAATAAAAAAAAAACAGTAAAATTTATAAGATGAGAAGCATAAAACTACTCGACTATGAATGGAAAAGTCGAGACTATAAGGCGCACTGTAAATTCTCGCGGTAGGTTGTGAATTCTACTCTTATGAGCAGCTGTGAAGCCACAATACCAGCTATTTGTGTCACCTGAACAAATTAAGATGCAGTCAGTTTTCTTATTCAGATACATGCTTTGTCCTGTTGTCGGCAGAAGAACCAGCCGAAGAACAGCAGAGTCATGGTAGAAAGTTCGGAGATGGTATTAAAGTAGCTCAGTTTAAATCAGCTCAGTTGTATTGTATGAATTGCCCTTACTATGGAATAAAAAATACGGAGTGTATATTTACATTTAGTTAAAAGTGGCTATAAAACATCAGCTCCAGTGGTGCAGATGGATAAACGCTTGTTATTGTCTTTTTGATGCGATCGACCCGGGTTCGATCCCGCCTTTTGCCGAACTTTTTTTTCTCCCTTTTCAAATCTCAATGGCTTTGTTATTTCGTTTTTTAGACTTGCATTTGCGTTTGTAATTTGTTATTTTGTTTTCAGAATTGTGATTTGCTTTGCACTTCTCTGCCACCGTACTACGGAAATCACTTGCATAATCCAGCGAGTCATGCACCAGTCTAATCAGTCCGAATCGTGTGCACGAATCATTTGAACAGTTCGGATAAACGCTTGTTATTGTCTTTTTGATGCGATCGACCCGGGTTCGATCCCGCCTTTTGCCGAACTTTTTTTTCTCCCTTTTCAAATCTCAATGGCTCTGTCTCAAACTATACCTACGTCTTCCGGTTTGTCTGATTTGTCGTTGTGTTTTCTGACTTGTTAATTTGTTTTCGGATTTGTTGTTGTGTTTTCTGACTTGTTATTTTGTTTTCTGAATTGTTGTTGTGCTTTCTGAATTGTTATTTTGTTTTTTAGACTTGCATTTGCGTTTGTAATTTGTTATTTTGTTTTCAGAATTGTGATTTGCTTTGCACTTCTCTGTCACCGTACTACGGAAATCACTTGCATAATCCAGCGAGTCATGCACCAGTCTAATCAGTCCGAATCGTGTCCACGAATCATTTGAACAGTTCGTTTTCAAAGAACAGGTTCAAGAAAACAATGCACCGATTCTTTTACGCAATGAAGTGGTCCATGACAACAACTATTTGTATGCGTGTTGATTCGGCTGTCCAACATACAAGTTACAGAACGTTTTATTTACATTTCTGTTCTAGCGAAATTTTTTTACAACATTTCTGTTCTACCGAAACATACTTGACGTATACGTACCAGGATTTCTATATTGCCTAAAATATCCAGGTTTTGGCGTTGTTTTCCTGTTTTCATACTTGCTAATAGGTAATGATCGAAAAATAGTTTGACCAATAATAACATGCAGGCATTGCACTGTTTGACCAATCAAATGAAAGGGGAATGTGTAAACCACAAATAAAATAAGATATGTCGAGCCAAAATCAGGTTTTCCTTTATTAAACAAAAAAAGTCGAGTGTCGAGTGTATTTCTCCACGTAACGCCAACTTTGTTCTTACTCCCAGTTTTCTAGGAATCAAATTTTTTAATCGGTTCGTCCCGATTTGATTGACTTCGAATATTAAACGACTCGTTCAGTACGAGCCGGTTAAATGACTCATGGAACAGAACTGACCTCATGATTCAAATCAAAAGAACTGAGCTCTCGACTCCTGTGGCTGGACGAATCAGACAGCTGACAAACATTCTACACGTTCCTATTCTGCGCTTAAAAGAAAGCTTTTCTGTCAGTCACCACATTATTTCGTTCAGTCCAAACATGAAAGAATATGAATTTCCTAGTGTAATAATGCCTTTTAATTTATGAGCACAGTTCAGTCAGAGCCGCTTAGTTCCACTTAGTTCTTCAACCCCTTCTGCTTACTTGACACTTTCAGCTTCGCTGTTTTGCATTGGTTAATGTAGGCGGAGTTTAAGTCACAGTGCCTTCCAAAACAAGGAACGTGTGTCGACACAAGGGCAGTTAAGTTACTGCTACCCGGGAAAAGAGGCGAAGAGCTGCGATGATTTCATAGACAGCATTCCCTGTTATTGACATTAACGAGGTAACGTTGATATCAAAACGCGGACGCTTTGTTTGAATGGTCTTGATAGTTAAAAAACCGTTACTACTAGTTCACCCGCGCCTACAGCAATGGCACTGAGAAATTCAAGATGGTCAATGGCTGTGCATCCCTGATTGGGACATGCTGTTATACTTGTGTGTTAACAGCAGCAAATAAAGTTGTTTATGCATGTTTTGGTGTTCCCATTGGTGGAACCAGTGGGAACCAGAACCTGTTTGTGTTTTTTAAGTGTTCAGTGGTTACTTGAATGCTTATTAGAGATATATTTGAATGATGATCTTCTTATTAAGAAGCAGACTATGCTTTGAAAAGTTTTTCTATTGGTCTAATCCCAATGAATATCTACAATGTTGTGGAGGTGTCACGGTCGAGTTCTAAAAGAGCTCTGAAGGCCCCTTACAAATGTGTTCTATCATATCTGTATTCTTTTCATTGCTAATATTATTGCTGGAGAAATGCATGATCACCTGATTATCACCGGTTATTATGAACCTATTGTTAAATAATAATTGTTTATTGTCCACCTACTGTAGTTGTACCACAACCCTTGAAGAACATGGAAGCATCTGAAGAGTCCATAAGAATGACTCCCGATCCTCAGAGCAAAACATGTCTACAGAATCAGGACACACACATATATCAAGAGAAAAAACCATCTGGACAATCAGGTAGGTACTTCACCACACAGGTAACAGAAAAAAAGCTTCCTATATTTTTAGCTTTTGATGTCAAAGTCTGCGTCCAGTCAAACTTGACTAAAACAGTTATATCACTTGGTAGAAGTCAAGTGTAAATTTTCCTGTTATTTTCATAAGTAATTATTTGTGTGGTAATAAGTAAAAATTAGAAGCTCTTTTTGTTATAAAGTAATAATGAAATAGCAATGACTAGTAATGACGCTTTTTCTGATTATTATAACTCAAAAATTAAATCTGTTGTGTGTGTGGTGTGTGTTTCACAACTTGGTTAGAAATGATAAAGGTAATCTAAAACATGTTGCTTTAGTTGTGTAACACAGTTATGTAATGCAAATAATAGCTTAATGGAACCCTGTTATTACAATTTATTGTGATAGCTGTGATGCTGTAATCAAGCAGTTATATATAGTCAGGTATATTGTAGTTAATTAAATGTGAAGACTGTTTTATCATTCACCTGGGATGATTATAAGGTCTGCAATACAGCAATTCAAACACTTGCTAGTGCTTACTGTAAAATTTTTGTACACTGTAAAAAAAATGGCGGAAATGCACTGGTAATTTTCATTAACAGTAAAACAATGCAGTGCAAAATT